AGAGAGAGAGAGAGAAAGAAGGAAGGAAGGAAGGAAGGAGAGGAAGGAAGGAAGGAAGGAAGGAAGGAAGAAAGAAAGAAAGAAAGAAAGAAAGAAAGAAAGAAAGAAAGAAAGAAAGAAAGAAAGAAAGAAAGAAAGAAAGGTAACAAACAGAGCGGTGGTAGCGCACGCCTTTAATTCCAGCACTCAGGAGGCAGAAGCAGGCAGATCTCTGTGAGTTCAAAGGCAGCCTGGTCTACAGAGCGAGATCCAGGACAGGCACCAAAACTACACGGAGAAACCCTGTCTCAAACAAACAAACAAAAAAGAATCATAACAAAACCTGTGCTAGGCTGCCCTGAGTAGGTTCTCACTTTTCTCTCGTGTTCTCTATCAAGGAAAGCTGCTGAACAGCGCTAAACCCACCAGAAGGCACTTGGGAGAAAAGAGGTTGAGGTCAAAGTCTAAGGAAAGCCCCAGCCCTGGAGCAGAGGCGTCAAACGGCCCCTCCCCAGCCTCACCTGAGCATGTTTTCCGGTCGGCGTTGAGGGTGTACCCTTGGCTACACTCACAATGGTGTCTGCCATCACCATCGCTGACACACACGTGCTGACACTGGTGTGTGCCTAGCACACACGGGTCCAGAGCTAGGCAAAGAACACACACAGTGATCACATCGATACCTAAGAACCCTTTTAGACACACTTCCTTCCGTTCCAAAAGACACTGCCTCCAGGTTTCTTCCTGACTCCATTTTGACCTCACTATTTAAAAAAGGGGGGGCTGCTTTCTGCCTCTGCTTTTACTAAATATTTGATTTGAGATGTTGCAAATCTAGAAGTATAGATCTTGCTATACCATCTCTCAAAAGAGAAAGGAAATTATGAATCTGGAGTTGCTGGAATCAAACGTTTCCACTGGTCAGGCAACTTGATGTTTTATTTGGCCAAAGTGTGTACCCACAAAACAGATAATCTTGCCTCTCGACCCTAAGCGTTGTGGAGAATAATAAGGTACTGTCAAGAGTGCTATGAGCTGGTGGGACCAGGGTAGCTGAAAACCTTGTTTGCAACAGTTCCACATTGTGCCTAAAGGGAACTGGACCGCAAGCACGCCTATCAGCCTGGAACCGACTTCCACTTGGGCAGTAAGACATGCTTGAGCATGTAAATAGTGCAAGGCCATCCAGCCAAGAGCCTCCTTCCACACCCATCACATGTCCAAGGCCCAGACATCTACTTGGGTTCTCAGTAGCTGCAAAGACAATGGGTTCAAATTATAAATACAAAGGGATAAAAAGAAAAGCGTGAGATGACGTCAGCTAAATCACATCTCCACCTTTTTTGCTCCTGGAAACATTTATGTTTCATTGGAATGACGCCCCCCTCCACACACACACACACACCCAGTGACGTGTTTTAAAAGATGAATCAATGAATTTAGTCATTTCTACAGAACCAAGGCCTGTGAGAGGAGACTAGCACTCCTGTAGCAGCCGGTAACCCAGCCTCCAGTGCCCTTGGCAACAGGACAAGGCTAATATTTTCCCAAGGAGTGCCTTTCGTGCAATGATCCTTCCAGCCCGTTGACTACAACAAGCTGCCCCTCAGTCGTTTTTTCCAGAGAGGACATCCCCCTGCAGCCCCCCCCCTCCCCGCCCCGTGCCGCCCCCAGAACAAGCAGGTCTTTTGTGAGAGGAAAAAGATTGCCACTCACTACTATTACTTTACAGCCTTGGAACCCACCACCAGTTGCTAACTTTAAGACCCAACTGTAGCCACAGACCAGAGCCCTGACGGAAGAGCTCTCACCCACAGCTCGAGGGGGGTTTCTGGGAAAAAGAAAGAAAGCCACTTTCTTTCTAGAACCTACTAAATGCCAAGTAGCTGCCATCATAACCAATGGTGTCTTGTGAACGCCCAATGTCCTGGGATACGGAAGACAGGGGGACCTCAGCCAGGTCTGGCTGAGATGAGGCCAAGATTTCATCTACCATTTCCCGACCAACTGATGATCCTGGGTTCCACATTCGTTCAGATAGAAAGTCTCATTGATACCTTGCAACTGGGGTCACTGGCTCACTCGCCTGTCTTTTCCACCGACTCCATATTGGTATCTGAAGGCTGGGAGGGGCTACCTGTGACTTTGTAGGTGGTGGTCAACATGAACAGACCCAGAATGTACCTGGCACAAAGTGTCTATATTTAAGAATTCACCTAAATTGAAACAGTGCCCATCCTCGCTCCAACCATTCCGCAGAGGCTTTTCAAACAACCGTCTCCAAATGATTTTTTTTAAAACGTGATTCCCACAAACCAGAATTCTATTTTTCTGAAGTTTTTATAGCTTTCTGTTTTCTTTTTCTTTTTAATGACATGGTCTCATGTAACCCAGGCTGACCTCAAACTCAGGATGTAGCTGAGGCTAGCTTTGAACTCTACCTCTCAAGTGCTGGGGTTATGGGCATTACTATCACACCCAGCTCACATTCTGATGAGGAAAAACAAACAAACAAACAAAACAAACAAAAACCTTCCAGATTCATGTTGTTGCATCTGATTAATTCATGAAAAAAAAAACTCTAATAAAATTAGGATGTTCGTATTCAAACTCCATCTGAAAGGAAGAATACAAGATTAACAGAATGATTTGTTTTTAATCTGTTTCTTGCGTCTAAGTGAATCAGAAAGCCCAGCCCTCCTCGTCTCTAATCCAATTATTCCACCCAAGAATAAGCAGAGAGCGAGAGAGTCGAATCTGAAAATGAGCTCTCATTACATGCACATGGACAGTGACGTTGGGATACAGCCCAGTGATCCTCCCAGGGCCAGACGCCACTCCAGCTTCCCCGGGAGAACAAGAGAGGCCCTGTTAAATCTAGAGATGTAAAGCGAAAGAAAACATTTGGAGGCGAGGGGAGGAATGTTAACCGTGGAGAGGAGGGGACTGAAGAGATGTCTTGAGTTTGGGTGTTTGGGGTTTGGGTTTTATTTCTGACCCCATCAAGGAGCAGTGGGACTGTTTATTCTGGTTATTTCCAGAACTTAACATGTCTAATGCAAACAGGAAGGTTTTATGAGCAAACCAAGTTACATATAGTGCAGCCTTGTACTTCTAAACCAACACCATGTGTTTAGGTTGGTTAAAAAAAAAAAAAAAAAAAAAAGCACAGCATGTGTTTAATTCTTCCATAAAATTTCCATCCCCTCCTCAAAAAAATGAATATACTGCTTTTTCCAGGGGCCTGGAACATTGGCTCAGCAGTTAAGAGCACATACTTCTCTTGCAGAAGGCCCAAGTTTGGTTCCCATTGGCCATCTGGGGTGGCTTACAACTGCCTACAACTCCAGCTCCAGGGGATGGGAGCTCTCTAGCCTCATCTACTACCCACACTCATGTGCACATACCCACACACATATACATAACTTAAAAAAATAAATCTCTAAAGGCCAGTTTCCGAGTACACAGTGCATGAATTATAACATCCTTGCTAGTTGGAAGTTAAGACTTACTAACCGCCGGGTGATGGTGGCGCACGCCTTTAATCCCAGCACTGGGGAGGCAGAGGCAGGCAGATCTCTATGAGTTCAAGGCCAGCCTGGGCTACCAAGTGAGTTCCAGGAAAGGCGCAAAGCTACACAGAGAAACCCTGTCTCAAAAAAAATAAATAAATAAATAAAAATAAAAATAATAATAATAATAATAAAAGACTTACCACAGAAAGTTTCCTGGAATCTAGCAGAGAGTTTCTCAATGACTCCATAGGTCTCCACATAGAACACGTGCTCCTGCAGGGGCTTGCTAGCCATCATCTTGAGGGACTCCATATCGGCCCGGTCCACACCCACAGCATACAGCTCAATGCCAGATGCCCGGGCCTGGGCAGCCACCTCATTCACTTCATCCTGGGGTCTCCCATCAGTCACAATAATAGCTACCTTGGGAATGTTAGACATGGGGCCCCGAGCTCCTGCCTCCACAGTGAAGGCTTCCTCCATCGCTGTCTGGATAGCCAGCCCGGACATCGTGCCTGTGGACAAGGGTGTGATCCGAGCCACAGCCTGTTTCAGGGCCTGCTTGTCTGAGTAGGTGTTGAGCTGGAACTCTATCTTCACAGTGCTGGCATAATTCACCACAGCCACCCTCGTGTCGGCTGCCCCGATGTCCAGAGTGTCGATGATGCGCGACACAAATGTCTTCACTTTGGTGAATTCCAGAGGCCGGACGCTACGAGAACTGTCGATGATAAACACCAAGTCCAGAGGCCGGCTCTTACAAACACCTGCAAAGGAAGGATATGGGCAAACAAAGGCTAAGCAGAGGTCAGACCACGATCAGAAATGTGACCGCTCTCATTCTCAGAGAACTCTGGGATTCTGGGAAGCCAGGCCTGGCAGCATCCCCCAATCCCAGCAGTACCATTACCTGCTCCCTTCCAGGGGGCCATCCTTGCTCTCAGTGTTGAAAACACCCAGGCTTTCAGAATCCCCTAGTGAGAATTCACATGGAAATGTGACTCTTCCCAACATTTTGCTTGGAGACTTATCCCACTATTTAAAGTTCTGTTCCTGAGAGTCTTTGTAACTCCTGGTACTGAGGGGATCCTGGCCCTTCCTTGGCACTTGGCTGAGACAATGGGGTAATGACTTCATCTAGCACACATCTACTGCACCTCCATCTTTGGGAGTGTATCTGGTTTTAAGGATCAGAGATCATGACCTGGTACCTCTCCCACTCCCCCAAACTTTCTTGGCCACTACTCTTTGCATTTTTTTCAACTGTCACTTGCCTATACATCTGCCACAATGGTAGAGAAGAAGAATCCTCACCTTCGAAGCTCTTATATCCTTTCTTGCGCCCTCCAGTAACTCAACACGTGCTCGTTACCACTTACTCTTTCCTAGTTTTCATTGATTCCTCTAACCCAATCTGCACAGCCCTCTCTTGACCCCCAAATTTAAGCCACTGTAAGGACTAGATGGGAGAGAATCCAGTTATCACATCTCCTTTTCAATCCATTCTTCACTTCCAATCAACATACACAAGCATGTGTACACACACACACACACAACACACAACACAGCCGCAGATGGAAATGAGGTCCTTAGGAGGTGTCTGTCACAGCTCCTCCTTTCCTAATAAAAGGACAGATTGGTGCTATTTGCTCAGTCAGTGTGTAGATCCAAAACAAATTCTTCGCACTGAATGGTGGTGCCAGCTGTAGTCAGAGCACTTAGGAGGCTAAGGAAGAGGAAGGCAAGTTCAAGATACACAGCGAGGCACTCCCAGAAACACAGGAGAAAGACGTTTTTGAAAAACACATCATTTAGACTAAGTCATTTCTAAGAGGAAAGACAGTCTGGAATAGGGAGCTTTGCCTCTGTCATGGCTGGGTTTTATTTGTTGTTGTTTCGTTTTGAGAGCTGGAGACCAAACCTGGAATCTTGTGTGTACTAGGCAAGTATCTACCACTGAGCTACATCCCCAGCCCTTCGGTTATTTATTTATCTGTCTGTCTATCTTTATTTATTTATTTATTTATTGTTTCTTTGAGAGAGAATCTCCTGTAGCTTTGGTTGGCCTCTCTCTAACTCACTACATAGCCAAGGATGACCTTGAAGACACTGTCCTCCTGCCTCCGCTTTCCAAGTGCCTAAGATTACAGGCATGTACCACCACACACAGCCTTTCAGTTTTGTTTTCAAAAATTGGAATTTTTAACCTCTTGATTTTATTTTATCAGCTGGATATACTCTGTTAATAAAATAACACCCTATTTTGAAAGACACTGTAGACATCCCAGAATGGTAACACACGGATTCTGTGAACTGGGCAGTGCAGAGGTTGCATCACACACATCTGGTGGAAGTTTGGGAGGAGCAAACCCTGAAAAGCAGTGGGGTAAGCCTGGCCTCCACAACTCCTAGCCCCAAGGCCTTTCCAGTACACGGCAGCTGCTCCTACTGAGGCAATGTTTTCCACCACAAAAATTAACATCATCGCATGTGCCCAGCCAATGTCTGCATGTTGACTTTGAGTCATCACCCAAAAGATGCCGTATGTCATGTATTTGGTTAAGTCAAGAGGAATTACACATCTTTTTTTTTTTTAAAAAAGTAATTCCACAATTTCCTTTAAGATTTCCAGGGATCAAGAGCAAGGAAGAGGACCTGTGTGAAAAATCTTACCTGGACACAGGTCTGTATATTTTTGCACTACTGAAGTGGAAGGAAAAAGCACCATAGTGCAAGCCTTGTAACTCAACACTTACACTAACACCCAAGTGGGTGTCTCTCCAAACCAGCGGGTTTTTATAACTCGACATGCCTCATTTTACCCTTCTTCTTTTGGTTTTTCTGAACTGGTGTGTGTGTGTGTGTGTGTGTGTGTGTGTGTGTGTGTGTGTGTGTGTGTGTGTGTGTGAGTGTGTGTGTGAAAGCTCTGAGGTATAATGGGTAGAATAATAACACCCCCAGAATATGTTCCCGTCCTTATTCCAGGGACTGATACATATGCTGCTAAGCACGGCACAAGACTGCAGCTGTGATCGGAGGCCTTTGGATGGGGAGGTTACCCTAGATTTTTCAGATGGATTCAACAGAATTACAAAGGTCCCTAAAAATGCAAGAGGTTCACTGAAAAGGAGACCCAGTGACCAAGACGTGAGATGGGCTCTAGCTGCTGTTGCTCGGTTTTGAAGAGGGAGGCCAAGGCAGAGCCAAGGACTGCAGTAGCCTCTGAGAGGCTGGCAAGGCTGGCAAGCGCTTCTCCCTGGTACCTCCCTCCCCACAGGACAGGGATGCAGCCCTGCCAACACCTTGGTATTTGCCCAGCCTAGGGAGAACAGCGTCAGCTTCCAACCTACAGAACTATAAGATAATATTGGGGTTGGGGATTTAGCTCAGTGGTAGAGTGCTTGCCTAGCAAGCACAAGGTCCTGGGTTCGATCCTCAGCTCAAAAAAAAAAAAAAAAACTTTGTGTTGAGGTAAGCCACTAAATTTATAATTATTTGTTTTGAAGGCAACAGAAAAGTAATACAGGAATCTTGGCCAGGGTGGCAACAATTAATTCCATGACCATGCACCTCTTTTCTTGTCCCTACTCCCTCAGCAAAGGTACAAACTGTTTTTGAATCTTACTCCTACTTGTTATATCAGCAGTTTGATTCTCAAGAAAAAAGAAAGTGGGCCTGGGAGTGTAACTCAGGTGGAAGGGTGTTTGCCTGGCCCTGGGTTCGATCCTGAGTACCACAGAAACAGGGCGATGTGGTACGTGTCTGTAGCCTGCAATCCCAGCAGAAGGTCAAGGTCATCCTTGGCTACATGGCGAGTTTGAGGCCAGCCTGGGCTACATAAGACAGAGGGGAGAGGGAGAGAGAGAGTGGGGGGAGGAGGAGAGAGGGAGGGAGGGAGATAGAGAGGGGAGAGAGGGGGAGGGAAAGAGAGAGACTCCACAATTTTGCCCATCTTTACCAGTCAGCAGTAAAAGCCAACAGCAAAGCTTACCAAGTCCTGGTTGCTAGAGTGATTTGGAGGAGTAGAATGTGGTGTTTATCAAGGGATTGCTGCCCAAGATCAGGTTTGGAGGTCAGGATGTGAAGGACCACGGTCACTGTGTGCAAAATCTAGCCTCCTCTCCCAGTCCTCTCCCCCAAGGAGGAGAGTAGAGGTAAAGTTCGTTTCCAGAGAAAAGGCTTTCCCCTCGACCCCAGCCTGGAGCAACCAGCCAGTTCAACTTAACCCCCATGAGCCCTGCTTGCCCCCCCCCATCTGGAATTTCAAGTCACGGATGATGGAAGAGTTTCCTGAGCCAATTCTCAGCATATCCAGCAAGTCACAGGAAGGGACAGACTATTCAAATCGGCCTGACAGCATCCCTGGCCAGATGAGCCTGGCCACCTAGAACATGATTTGCTACAGTCTCTCTTTCAAGCCAAGACCAGACAGGCTAAAGCTGGATATTTGGGTAAGGAAGAGACAACCTTCTGTAAGGGGTATGGAGAGCATGCTGTACAGGTAGAAGGAGCCCTTACTTGACTTCTTAGGACTCCATGTTTCAGTAGGAGACCTGATGCTAATTCTGGGTCATTTCACTACGCTAAGCCTTGGGGTCCCTCTATGTGTTGTGAGGGGTCATGGAAGGACGCCTATCCGCTTCGCTGAGCTCTGTTGATTTCCTCTGCTCAGAGCAAAATTAGTGGCCAAAGGGGGAAAACGGGATTGTTCAACAAAGACCAGATCTGCCTGGGTCTTTGGCGATCTGACAGAGCATGGGTTGGAGTGGCCCGGAGGTGGGGGGCAGTCAGCTTAAGTAGAATTACTCAGTCGTGGGCAGAACCGAGTATAGCACCAATTGAGTTACAGGACATGACAGTTTGGTCTTCCTTCCTAGTCCCACCCCACCACCCCCACTTCCCCATTCTCCACTAAGCCATCCCTTCTTCCAGATCTTGGGTTCTTTCTAGACCCTTTCTTCCATAGGCAGAAAGGCACACACGGTGAATGCAAAAATAGATGGAGATTTCCAGATAACTACAAACAGGGCGTCAAGAAGGGTTTGCTCTCCCTAACCAAGAGATCCGAGCCAGGTAGAGCTGGGAGCCCCCATCTTATTCCCTGGCTGGAGCTCCTGCAGGTGCGCGATGCCCCCCCTTCCCAAATCACAGGTAAGTTTGAACTTCGGGATAACAAATGCTATCATGGACGTGCGCATGATATTACACCCCCAACCTCTACCCCCACCCTTTGACTGTCCGATCCTTAGTTTCTGCACAGGATTGCCAAGAGAAGGATGCCTCCTTCAGCATCCCGCTTGGAGGCTAGGATGAAGGAACATTCGGTGGATGCGGTACACTGCCTGTGTTCAGGGGTCCCCGCCCCTCTTCCCACCTCCAGCCAGGGCTACGTCTCCCTCTCCTGCCAAGCGATCCCCAGTCCGCCCTACTGTACCTGCACCGCGGGCCCCGGAATCAGGCGTGCGGGCGGGAGACGCCCGAGCAGGAAGATGCCCGGGGCTGCCCCCGGGGATTCGTGTCCCCAGCCTTCGGACGCTCGCCTGGGCCAATGGTCCAGGAGCCGCGGGGGGCAGCAGCAGCAGCGGTAGCCAGAGCAACAGCAAAAGTCCCGGGAGGTGGCGCGCAGGGGCTGGGAGCAACATGATGGGCTAGGCGACCAGCCGGGGTCTGTGAGCTGCGAGGTGGCTGGGGCGTGCAAGGTCAGTCGCCAGCGTGGGGCCGCACTTTGGCAGCCAATTTAAAGGTCCCGCTCATGAGACTCCGCCCCGCCCCGCCCCCTGGAGGGCCATGCCACCGGGGGCCCTGGAGCCGCCAAAGGCCAACAAGAAGCCCTGTCTGCGCATTCCAGTGGCAGGAGCGGAATGTCTGGGGCTAGGCGGCCAGCGGCACGGTGGTCACCGCCCGCCTAGTCCGGTGGGCTCGGCTGGGTGCCTCCTGGATGACTGCCTCCTTGTAAAACCATGCTGGGGTTGGGGGGACGCCTGCTCCACCCTCGTGTGCCAGCCAGGTCTGTGCCCCAGGACCTATTTGACAAACCCCTGGGTTCTGTGCCCGCTCAGCTGCAGGTGAGCCTGACTCCCGGCTGAGAGCGAGAGTCACACACAACACACCTTTCTCCAGCCAAGGAAAGTCAAATTTTGCTTTTTTTTTTTTTTTTTTTTTTTTTTTTTTTTTTTTTTTTTTTTTTTTTTTCAGGAAAGGCCTCACAGATTCTATTCATCATGAATAGGATGCTTTCTTCCCAGTTTCAATATATCTGTAAACATTTGAACTTATAGTACCAGGAATAGTAAATCAAACAGACATCCACCACCACCACCCCAGAGAGCCTCAGGTTTACTGGAAGAACACCCTTCTTCTACACCCGCTTCCTCTCTGGAACAGCGACCAGCAGGGCTGGAAACTGCTCAGGGAACCCTTAAGTCACTGCGAGAGAGAAGATGCACAGGCGGTGTACTGCTAAGGGGAAGTGGTGGGTTAGAAAAGTGGCCCATGTGAGTAGGAAGGCTTCTAGAAGCAGGGGAGGAGGGATGATGCGGGTCTTCAGACATGGCAGCTCATCAGCATGAATGAGTCCCAACAGATCCAATCCAGTCTTTCTGCTGGTAACTGTTACCCTTCTACTATCCACATACATTGTAACCTAACAATCACACCAAGAGATTGAAGTAGCCCGGTGCCCTCTAGGTGAATGGATACACAGAAGATATGTATCTGTGTCTCTTGGGGTTACAATTGTTGCGATGAAACACCATGACCAAGAGCAACACGGGGAGGGGAGAATTTATTTATGGCTAGTGCTTCCACGTCTCTGTTCATCGTGGAAGGCAGTCAGGACGGGAATTCAAATAGGGCAGGAACCTGGAGACGTAGGCTGATGCAGAAGCCATGAAGGAGTGCTGTATACTAGCTTACTCATAACTTGCTCAGTCTGCTTTCTTATAGAACCCAGGACCACATGCCCAGGGATGTCACCACCCACTGTGGGCTGGGCCCTCCCCCATCAATGACTAATTAAGAAAATATCCGACAGGCTGGCCTACAGCCTGATCTCACAGAAGCATTTTCTCAGTTGACACCCCCCCTTCCTCTGAAGACTCTAGCTGTGTCAAGTTGACATAAAACTAGCCAGCACCCTGAATACATGAATACTAGTAAGTCTTCAAAATGAAATTCTAATGCAGGTTACAACACAGATGAACCGTGAGGACATGGTGCAAGGTGAAATAAGCCAGCCACAAGGAGGCACGTTTGGACCAATTCTGTTTGGAGGGGATATCTAAAGTAGTCAAAACCTATTTGCATGGAAACAATAGAATGGTGGCTTCTGGGAGACAGGGAAGGCAGGCAGTGGGAGTTGTCTAATGAGTATAAAATTTCAGTGTTGTAAAAGGAGAAGCTGTGGAATCTGATCCCACAGTAACATGAACACACTACTGTAGTTGGAATGTATACTCTTCAAGTATGAGTTGGGAACTTAATCCTCAAGGTCCTGTATTGACAGTATTTAAGTGCAGAGCATTTGGGAAAGTAATTATGCCTGAAGGAAGCCATCAGGGGTAAGTGCCATGATGACATTAGTTGGCTTTATAAGAAGAGTCTGTCTAGGGAGACGGTGCTAGTAGGTGACGTTCTTGCCACACACAAGTGTAAGGACCTGAGTTTCAAACCCCAGAATTTACACAGAGCTGGGTTCAATAGCGCATATCTGTAATCCCAGCAGTCCTACAGTGGGACACATCTGTAGGCAACAAAGAGAGTCTACCTCAAACAAGGTAACATACTAGAGCTTGTTCTTTGACCTCTACACACAGTCATGTAACAAACCCATGCTTTGCTTACACATATGAACATACACACACACACACACACACACACACACACACACACACACATACACATACACACACACATAAAAGGAAAAGAAGTGGCTAGGATGTAGCTCTGTTAGCAGAGTATTTGTTTAGCATGCAGGAAGCCCTGGGTTTGATCCCCAGCACCGAATAGACCAAGTAGGGTGATGTAATCCCAACACTTCAAGAGGTAGGAAGACCGGAAGTTTAAATATCATCCTCTACTACATGCCAAGTTCAAAGCCAGCAGGATGTCTCAAGGGAGTGGGGGCAGTAGATGAAGAGATAAGCCCACTTGTGCCCTGCCATGGGATGCTTTCTGGAGTATAGGCACCAGGAACACAAGGACAAAGCCAGAATTGTTCACTACCCAATCTCCAGAAAGTAAACCTTGTTGCATGAAGGCTCTTGGTCAAAGATAGGACTGAAATACCAAGAGATACAGGCTCCCAGCCCTGGCTGGTGTTTAGATTCACTGTGGCTGGGAGGTCAACAGGCATGGTAGACTGTCTGCAGAAGAAACAGCCTGGCCCGGCTTATTCTAAGAGGAAAGGCTTCTCTGTGCTCCATTTCACTGACAACAGACTGCTGTGTGCTAGGCATCAGCTGCACACAGTAGCTTTCTTTGACCTTTCCCAGCAAGGCTGGTTCCTCAGCCGCCACCAGGCCACCACTGGGTAAAGCAGGATAACGGTCTGATTTATAGATGCCTGTGAGCAACTATAAAAAACAACAACAAAAAACAAAAAACAAAACTGAATTATTTACCCAAGACTAAGGGATAAATTATGGGTGTCTTTTCTTTAAAAAATACTTAATTTGTATTGGTTTTTGTTGTTGTTTTGCTTTTAGATCTTTTTTGAGATAGGGTCTATGTGGCTCTGGCTAGCCTGGAACTAGCTATGTTGATCAGGCTGGCCTTGAACTCACAGAGATCTGCCTGTCTCTGCCTCCAAAGCACTGAGACTAAAGGCATGTGCCATCATGCCTGGCTAACGTTTATTTATTTTTTAGTGTGTGTGTGTGTGTGTGTGTGTGTGTGTGTGTGTGTGTGTGTGTGTTTTGTATTTTGTGTATGTGTACCACAAGAGCATCTTGTACCCACCCAGGAAAGATGAGAGCATCAGATCCCTCTGAATTGGATGGGGTTACTTACTGATAATTGTGAGCCTCCACTTAGGTGCTGAGAAGTGAACTCTAGTCCTCTGCAAGAGCAGTATACACTCATAACCGCTGAGCCATCTTTCCAGCCTACCCCCTACTTCTCTGGTTCATAATGTACCAAATGTACCAACTATATTAGAACTGTTATCTACTGGCAGACTTCAGCGACTGTCCTCTATTCCTAATTCCCAGATCTGTGGGTTTGGAAGTCTCCAGTTAAAGGCCACAAAAGCACTTTCAGCTCAACACATCCAACAGTGAATGAACTCCAGATCTTCTGTGGTAATCTTCCCCTGTAACCACTATGTCCTGGCCACTCAGGCATGACACAAACCTTGACATCCCCTGGTCCCTCTGGCATTAAATAAGTTGCCACATCTTCTAGCCACATCTCCAGCTTAATCCAACTCTCAAGAATGATTTCAGTCACCCCATGGGAAATATATCCTTATTTTTCCAGCCAGACAGGATGCCTGAAGGAGGGGTCAGGGAGAACAAGACAACACATTTAAAGAAATAATGGCTAAAGAATTTCCATACGTCATGAAAGCCACAAACACACAGATCTGAGGCCCTCAATGAACTCCAGGCACAGGAAACATTTAAGACCACAAAGCCAACCTTAAGGAATATCATAAAGAAATTGATCAAAATCAGTGTTATGAAATAAATTTTTGAATTGCCCAAGGAGGAGGGTCGGGGAGAATGTTCCATACAGAGTAGAACCAAAGTCAGTAAATTGCTCTCTAGAAACAATGTGTACAAGAAGACAGTGAGGTGGCAGCATCTTTTATACCCTGCAAGAATAGCTTTAGAATGCAAAGGTAGAAGAAAGACATAGCAAGACATACAAAAGCCAAAAGAAAAAAAAATCCATCAGCAGAATCACCTGTGAAAACATGTCAAAAGACCTCTCCAGCAAAGGAAAAATACTACCAGATGGGAAAGGAATGCACAGTGCTGCAGACAGACACCCACATCATTTTTATGATTAATCTCCTCTTTCCAAGATAATTAACTATTTAGCCAGAAATAAGAGGCACAGAAGATCAGAGGTGGGAGGAATCTGTGATGATACTTGCTGTCTGAGTTACTTACCAAAGGCATAGAAGCCATCGATGAGTCAGCCACGAATATAAATGAGGCTTCTGGGGCCGTGAACGATGACAGCGAGATTCAAAGCTCCTTCCTGACAGGCAAGAAACAAAGTCTTCCTTTCTTTGGTTTCCAGGTCAAATACTTTTCTTCTCCCTCCTGGCCATTCCCCAGCCATGGCTTGCTGTCTCACACACCCCCAGAGACTATTTGCAGAGTGATCTGTAGGCAGCCAGCCCTCTGGTCCGTTACCTCCACAGAGCCTCAGAACAACTAAGGGGAGCACATAGGTGAGGATTTCCACCTTCCTGGTTTTACAAAAGTGGGAAATGAAAAGCCTCTCATCCGAAACACACTTCACAGGGTCAGAGTGGACGACCTAGTGAAGACAGATTTTAGTCCTCTGCCCCCAAACTCTGTGCTCACCCCCCCCACACACACACACACAAGCTGCCTCCTTCATGTGCTTAGAATCCCACATCTTTGGGCAACATTCCTTTTGAGTCTCAATTATTTTCTCAAAACCCAGAGCATGATTTTTCTAGAAAACAAAGCAATCTTAGAAAACAAAGAAAGGTGCAGCTTTGTCTTGAGGTAAGCTCCCAGGCTAGTCCGTAAGGTCGGCTTTTAAAGCAGTCG